GGGAACCTTCATCAGAAAGAAAACTGTGCTGCTCAAAGTCAAAGGTTGGTTTGTCTGTACAGCTGTCATATTAGAAGTAGAAGAAGCTCTGATTTTAGTGCCAAAATAAATCTATGAAGTTATGAATTCACAGCTCATGTTGTGTTTGTTGTCTTCTTAGTCTGTCAGGTGCAGTTTAAGGTGGGGGCGGAGTCTGTCCAGCTGCCCTTCATAACCACAGAAAACCTGTCTGAAGATACTAAAGTGGAGTGGAAACACAAAGAGCCTGAACCATCACTGAATGTCAACGGCTCTGACCAGCATGAAGAACAGCACCAGGTTTACAAAGGCCGAACTGTGATGAATGAAGAACCGCTGGAAACTGGAGACCTCAGTCTGACCCTGGAATACCCCACAAAGAGAGACAGTGGAGAGTACAAGTGTTTGGTCTGGAGGAGGGGAAACTTAATCAGAAAGAAAACTGTGCTGCTCAAAGTCAAAGGTTGGTTTATCTGTAGAAGTAGAAGAAGCTCTGATTTTGGTGCCAAAATAAATCCATGAAGTTATGAATTCACAGCTCATGTTGTGTTTATTGTCCTCTCAGTGTGTCAGGTGCGGTTCTTGATGCGGGCGGAGTCTCTCCAGCTGCCCTTCATAACCACACAAAACCTGCCTGAAGATGCTGAGGTGAGGTTGATACGTGAAGAATCAGGTCCATCAGTGATGGTCCACGTGTATAAGAAACCCTCAGACCAGCCTAAAGAAGAGGACCAGGTTTACAAAGACCAAACAGAGATGAAAGAAGACCCTCTGAAAACTGGAGAGACAGTGGGAGGAAGGGAAACTTCATCAGACAAAAATGGTAGGTTTGTTTATTTGTTGTTTATTGGCTTGTGCGATTGTGTCTGACTGTCTTGTGTCTCCTCTGCAGGCAGAGTTCAGGTCCAGGATCAAACAGGGGACATCAGGAACAGAAGCAGCTCCATTGATCCGACTCCTCTGATGGCTGATCAATCAGTTTGATC